ACAAAAAGTGTCTTCCTAAATTTTTAGTTGGAAAATATTTTTCGAATCCTTTATTTTTTTGTTTTTCTTCTCTTTCATCTCTTTTAAATTAAAACCAGTTTCCTGATTATTATTACCACCACCATCATCACTACCACCACTAACACTAGCACCATCACCACCACTACACAACCATCACCACTACCAACACCACCACCACCACCACCACCGCACCACCACTTATTATTATTGTTGTTGTTGTTATTATTATTATTATTATTATTATTATTATTATTATTATTATATAACAAATAATATGCTCATTTTCTAGAAAATGAACCAAACAGAAAATAGTAATTTTTTGACCTTCAACCAAACACTAAAAAATTAAGATATTTTTCGAAAAATGAAGCATTTTTTAAAAATCATCTTGTGGAAAATATTTTTAGATTTTCAAACCGGCCCTAATTTTATGAAATTTAAAAAATAAAAAATAAAATTTTATGATTTTCAACTAATGATATTTGAAAAATTTTCCCTCAATAATTAAAGTAGTCAACAATTGACTACTTTTTCTAGTGGTAAAAAAAAATGATTGGTTAAGTGTCAATAAATTACTCTAATTTCCAACCACCAATAGTCGAATAATTTATTTTTTTTTTAATAGCCATCCATAGCATTTTGGCAACAAAACAAATAGAAACATATTTTTGCCTTTTCGGTAGAAACTACACCCCAAAAATAAAAAATTAAAAAAAAAAAAAAAATAATAATAATAATAATAATAATATGCTTCTTCTTCAATTTTCATACTGAACCTTCGCAATGGGTCAGTCCATCGGCAATAGTTATGATGTAGAACCATGTTCACCATGCGCATGATTAACACGGAATATATTCATAATTTTTAAACTGTAGATTTATAATTTTTATATTGTAGATTCATAATATTTATACTATAAATTCATAATTTCTATACCGTAAATTCATAATATAGTTACGTAGATTCATAATTTCTATACTGTAGATTCATAATTTCTATACTGTAGATTCATAATTTCTGCACTGTAGATTCATAATTTCTGTACTACGAAGACGAAATAATACGATTGCGAAGAGAGAAACGTCGTTAACAACAAATGAAAAATAAAATTATGAATCTACAACATAGAAATTATGGATCTATCCCTGTGTTTACCATAAGCACCGTAAACACGTTTCCACATCATAATTTGCGGTCCATCGGGGCTTCTAGCGTCTCGTCCTTTCCCAAAGACATTGAGTTTGGAATTTTCATATAGTTCATATATGAACTATATACATTGTATGTATATTTTGTACATAATAGGCTTAGAAAAGAAGGGGCACATTAGTTTTGTCCAAAAAGAAATATATAGCACTACGTCAATATGGTTGCAGTAGGCGTTAGGCGAGCGCCAAAAAAATAGTGGCAAACTTGTAGTTTTACAATTTTAATGAGATTGTTTTCAACATTCAATCAAATAACACATCTAAATAAATGTAATAATGATAACTCATAAGTCATAACATCAAAACAATATTAAAAATTAAAAGTACTCAAATATAAAATACTCAAATACTTCAATGAGTCAAAAATTCAAAGTATCAAATTAGTCTACGGATGTATATATGTCATATTATATATATATGATGGATTTAATTAACCCGGGGGGGTGTGCCCGAATCAATAAATCCGGATAAGAACGTAATATAATAAGAATAATAAGCGAATAATATAGAACGATGCCGTAAAGGTCGCTGGGGACCGTATATTATATTAATTGCCGTAGTATTTGGCTATTACAAAGATCCGATAGAACAAAGTGTGTAATAAGTGTAGAATATGTAATGAATCGTCCTTTGTTAGGACAAGGAGGGGAGTTTTTATACAAGCCAAACCCCCCCCAACCGCCTCCCCTCAAATCGGGGGTGGTTAGATCTCAAGTTTGACCGGGCCCGGGTGGACCGGGTCGGGTCGGGTCCCGAGCTCGGGTAGGACCGAGCTCCCCGACCCGAGCTCCACGTAGGTCGGCTCGGGTCGGGGCACCTCCATGGTGCTCCGGGTCCGTGTTGGTCTTGGGCACCTCCATGGTGCCCCGGGTCCGTGTTGCTCCTGGGCTCCAATGTGGTGCCACGGGTCCATGTTGCTCCTGGGCACCTCCGTGGTCCCCCGAGTCCGTGTTGCTCTTGGGCACCTCCGTGGTCCCCCGGGTCCGTGCTGCTCTTGGGCACCTCCGTGGTCCCTCGGGTCCGTGCTGCTCTTGGGCTCCACCAAGGTGCTCCGGGTCCATGTTGCTACCCCGAGTCAGGTCGTGGGTATAATATATCCATCAATATATATAATGAAAAAAAATTAGCAAGACCGAGCTGACCGGGTTAACTCGACTGAATTGGACGAGTTAACTCGGCTAAGTTAGACGCTAGGCGGCCAAGTTAGGCGCTTGGGGGCAAATCGTCACGGTCTAGGAGCGCCTAGCGCCTAGACCGATTTTTGCAATAGTGCGTATCAATTATTTAAGCCTTTGGAATTGTAGGTCCAAATGCAAGTCTGAAATGTTTATTATTTTGGCAAATAGAATTGAGATTATATGGTCCTGTTTGGTAACATAATTAGCTTATGAGTTAATTTTGACTTATTTGACCACTATTAGCTGTTTGACTTAGTTAAACAATTAATATGAGTGTTTGATTAATTAACTCTTTGTAATAGCTTATTGCTTCAAAATGTTAAAATTAAAAAAATTGCTCAAAGTAGCTTTTTGAGAAAGTCATTTTGAATATAATTAGCTACCAGCTAACAGTTAATTTACCAAACACTTTTCTACAATCAACTAATAATGTTATCAACTAGTCAAACCTACTAATCTAATCAGCTAACAACTATTTAACAAACATCCTCTATATTGAATTAAAAAAAAAAAAAATTAAAAGTTTAAATGAAAAACAAATCGTTTGGTAATGTATTACTCAAAATAAGTAAAGTCAATGTACATGCTGAAAGGTGAAGACAGGTACTAACCCCATAATCAAGAAACCATTTTGCTCTGATCTTGTGGAAAATATGGTTGGAAATAGACAGGTCCAAGAAAACAGTTTCAAGTTTTAAGGTTTTTTTTTTTTTTTCTTTTTCAAAATAATATTTAGAAGGATTGAACTCATGATCATTCACGTACAATCACCCTAATAAATTTGCAAAATAGTACAAAATATTTAATTCATGTAATTATGATAAGAAATATGCAACCATCAAAGGTTTAGTGGTTCAATCAGTAGGGCCTGGTCTAACTGAAATAAAAAATAATAATAATAATAAATAAATAAATTTGAAGATATGAATGGTAGTGCAAAGTGGAGATCTTGTATTGGGCTGGACAAAACAATAATTTAATTTAGGGATCACACAGATATTGAATGCATTCATACGTGATGTAATGCCTGCTTTTCCCTGCACTACCCATCTGTACTACCTTCCAAATGCGTATATCTTTACTTTCTTCTCTGTGTTAAGTTATATCCAAATTAAATATTACAATAAATTCCAACAACGAGATTGATTTTTTTTTTTTTGAAAAAAAAAATTATATTTTCATCTTAATAATTTTAAGAAATATTTTACGAAAATTTTGCCTTGTATCATTATGTTATACAATTTTCTAGTTAATTTTCTACTAGAAGAATTTGCTAGTCTTGAGGCCTTAAAACCCTCTGGTGCACCCTAAAAAAATCTAATTAATTTTCCATTTCTAGTGAATCTTAGTTCAACATAAATAAGTTAAATAGTTAATTAGTTAGATTTAACATTAATGTTGTGTTTCAGTCCATTTTACTTTCGTGATAAATGTACACAATCATTTACATGAATGCACTACAAACTATTTCAAGAAATATTGTGTGCATTGTGCAGTGAAATATGAAATTGTGTGTATTTATGCACAAGTCGCACATTCTCATGGAAGGATGAGTTCTCATTGGAACATCACCATGCATAAATAACTAAATACATACATACATACATACATACATACATATATATATATATATATATATATATATATATATATATATATATATATATATATATATATATATATATATATATATATATATATAATTGCACTCAGGTGCGAATGCTTCGCCCAGGAGCGAAATAGGAATGGATTCTGTATGTCCACGTGTCCAGATCTAATGGATGAGAAACACTGATTTTTTTTAAAAGCGCGGTGGCATTTTCGTAAATAAATGAACATTGAAGTGCAAGTAAAATGTATTACAAGTGCATGTAAAATGTATTATAGGTGCAAGTAAAAATTTACACTGAGCATCAATACTAAGTGCACCTATAGTTATAAGTAGTTGCACCTATAATTCTAAGTAGTTGCACACATAGTTATTAGTTGCACCTAGGTGCATGAATGTTTGTGGGTGGTTTTCAGTGGTATTACTACCCGCTGAACTCAGATCAATGAATGTTAACAAGGCAAAATTACATGCACTTATAGGTGAAAGTAGGTGCACTTATAGTTATAAATAGTTGTACCTATAGTTATAAATAGTTGCACATATAGTTATAAACACACCCAGGTGCACGAATGTGTGCGGGAAGTGAATGCTAATAAGGCAAAATTACATGCACTTATAGGTGAAAGTAGATGCACTTGTAAGTGATTTTACTTGCACTTCAATGTTCAATTATTTACGAAAATGCCACCGCGTTTTTTTAAGCTATTAGATCTGGATACGTGCACACTGATTGGTTCGCATATTCCTTCCTGAGGCACTTATTTGCACCTGAGTGCATCCCTCTATATATATATATATATATATATATATATATAGGTAGATAGAGGTGACATATATATACGGGTGTGGCATACACGCACCATGTTGTGGTTGCTTTCAATATCTGATAGATCTGCAGACTGGAATGCTTAAATTAAATGGGTACCCTTACCCTATCACAACATGCCAACCTTGACTAGTTAGTAGTTACCCCCTCAGGCCTCAGCTCCCGGTTAGTTTCACCTACCTTTCACTCTCTAACAAAAAGTTAAAAGAAAAAACTTATGATAGTTTTGGAAAATATATAATCTCTGATCTTCCGGTCCTCTGCTTTATTTTATCAGCTTCCTCGTAGCCTCCTCTTTCTGGTTAATTCTCCATCATATCATCTTCAATTCTTGTCTGAAAGTTTTCGATCTGGAAAACCAAAAGGTTTACTAGAATTCTTGTTGATTTGATTCTGTATTTTGTGTTGTGGAATCTGCAGAAATGGCGCAACTGCTGCTCCACGGTTCACTCCATGTCTGCGTCTATGAGGTTGACAAGATAAAGACCGATGGCCTCCATAACTTATTCCACAAGGTAATTAATTATAATTCTTTTCTGATAATCAAAATGCTTAACTATATTCCATTTCAATTCCGGCCGGCCTTGTATCATAGCATAGCATAGATTTATGTTCTTAGCTTGATTCCATGTTTTAATTTGATTAAGTTAATGTTGTCTGTTCTGTTCTTGGCGAAATAATGTGTGGTGAAGCAATATGTAGTATAGATTAAAGGATAAAGCTCTATGATTTGAGTATTTTCATACATTATTGCATTTATTAAAAATTACATGTTTATATTCCTAAAATATTAGTTTTTTAAAATAATATTAGTTGGTCCATTAATAAAACTTCCCTAACTTGAAGGGTGTGATTGAGTGGAAGAGACTCATCCACTCTTAACCAAAGGTCAATGGTTCAATCTTGGCTTTGGGAATGGAGCATATACCAATAAAAATGAGTTAATTTCATTTTTATCCTAGATTTATAGGTGGTAGTCCACTTTTATTAGGTGTTTGGTTGGCATGAATTGCATTGGCATTGAATTGCAATTCAATGAAATGATAAACTACATTGTTTGGTTGGAGGGAATTGCAATTCCCTCAATTCATTGAATTGCAATTCATAGGTCTCACCCTATAAATTGCAATTCAATGAATTCATCCATACAATGAAAAGGGAAAAGGAAGGAAATGACATATTTGTCCTTGAATGTTATTATTCATATTGTTAAACAAGGGTATTTTAGTCTTTATATCACTTCTCTCATTTCCATTATTCTTCCTACCAAACAATGTAATTGTAATTCTACTTTATTCCCATCGAATTATAATTCCTTTTCCCCAAACGCCAATTTAGTCATTTTTTATCATAACATCTTCTTTTTTTTTTTATTCTAGTATTATTGTGACATGACCAATTTTGTTCCTCTATCAAAAAAATCATTGAAATTGCGTTAAATACAAGAGCATTTCGCTGTTCAGTTATGAATTTTTTCAAAAAATAAACATAAAATATATAACCAGTAAACACACTTTGTATTAAAAAGATCAAAATGTCATTCTTTTTTTTTTTTTTTTTTTTTTGATAGAGGACCAAAATTGGTCATGTCACAATAATACTAGGACCAAAACGAGGGGTCGTTTACTTCAGTTCTCTGTTTTTCTATTTCCAGTTTTCTATTTCTTCATTCCTCCAGTTTTCCTTCTCTATTTCTCCAATTTTCTAATTTTCTTTCTATAATCATCCAATTTTTCATTTCTCAAATAATAATAATAATAATAATAATAATAATAATAATAAAGAAACGAAAAAAAAAAAAAAAAGAGAGAGAGACGCATTGGAAAACAAAGAAAAAAGAAAGGACGGGGGAAATAAACGAAAGGAAGAAAGAAGGGGTAGTGGGAGGCAGAAGAAAGACGCTGGGGAAAATCAAAACAGACAAAGCGCTCGCAACAAGAAACGACACCACGACCTAGCGCACTGTTCATTCGTGTACATTGTTCACCGGTGTATTCCATTCCTCCATTTGGAGAATGTCTATTTTATCTCTCCAAAATTGTATAAAAAGTGAAAGAATGGAGATGAAATTGAAATTGGAAGAAAAAATTTAGTAAACAAGTTCTCCAATTTTCATTTTTTTACTTCTTTAATTTTCCATTTTTTAAAAAAATCCTCCATTTTTTCAAGTTGGTAAACGATCTCGAGATTTTTTGATAAAAAGAGACTAAAAGTAGACTGTCACCTATAAATGTAGGATCAAAAATAGAATTAACTCCAAAAAAAATTAATAAAACTTCCCTGAGCTGTTAACTATTATTGGAATTATAAACGGCAATCTTGTTAAGTAAATATCAAATTAGTGCACTGTGTGGTAAAACCTTATATTCATTTGATATAAATAAGAAAATGATGTCCTTTTTTTTGGAAATATTTAATAGAAAAATCAATCGGTTGTGAATACAGTATGAGAATTGAATGGAATCTTAGCTTGGTTGATAGTTTTGCCAATTCATTTCGTTCCCTGTTTATGACTAATAATGCAGTAAGATTTCTCTGGGCTGATTTCAATTGATTTGACCTTTGTGTTAGGTTGTTACTTTAATTTTGTCAAAAAAAAAAAACAAAAAAAAAAAAACAATGGGAAAGGATTGTATTAATGAGAAGGAAAATGATATGTATACTCATTTTTTATTTTCAACTTTTATTGTAACATAAAAAACATTAATGTATATACTTGTATTGGGATTCACATGAAAAAAATAGCTTATAAGAGCCCGCGCAAAATTGAGAAAATAAGATTTGGAAATACATGTAGTAGAACTTTATTGAGAATCATGTAAAGAATTAAAATAAATTCAAATCTGTAGTAGGTTTGCATTTAATGAGTTAGGAATAAAGTCAAATGTGAAATACGTTTGCGTTTAGTGAGTTAGGTTTTGTAACAAGAATTGTAGATCTCTAAGCACACAAATCTGCGGCTAATATTCACTTAGGTTTGTTATAAATAGGTAATCCATCTCCATTGTAAGACATTTCATCTCATTAGATAACACACCTTAACATAGCAAAGTTTCCTTAGAGAGATATTTGTAACTCATATTATAATATCATTTTGTTAATACAGAAAATTCTTTCTGCAAAATTATTTTATTGTATGTAATATTCTTAATATTTTCATTCTAAGTTGCTATTGTAATTAGGGGTTGAATTAAAAAAAAAAAAAAAAAAAAAAAAAACTTCAATAAAACTCCATTAAACAAACTGAATACATAAAATAGGACAGAGGTACCAAAGGCCTTGTAGTCTAATGGTACCAAATTATTTCTTTATGTTGGAGGTGGTGAGTTCGAGCCTTGGTGGAGGCATAGTAGTTTATAAATGGGTATCCTCTTTCTTGTAATAAAAAAAAAAAAAGGACAGAGGTTTTAATTTTGGGTTAGTCTAAGCACGGTAACTGACACTGTTATCTTCTACTATTTTTTATTTTTTTAATTTCATACCGCTTCGTTATAGGAGCATATGTTCATAATTTTATCACTTTATGTTCATAATTGTATGTTCATAATGTCATAGCTCTGTGTTCATAAATCCATAACTGTACATTCATAATTCCGTAACTGTACATTCATAATTCCGTAACTGTACATTCATAATTTTCGAAGCTTTATGTTCACAATGTTAGAGCTCTATGTTCATAATTGTAAGTTCATAATGTCAGAGCTCTGTGTTCATAATTTTATAATTGTGCATTCATACTTCCATAACTGTACATTCATAATTCCGTAGCCGTACATTCATAATTCAATAACTATAAATTCATAATTTTCGAAGCTCTATGTTCACAATTTTAGAGCTCTATTTTATAATTTTATCACTATATGTTCAGAATTGTAAGTTCATAATATCAAAGTTCTTTGTTCATAATTTCATAATTCCATAACTGTACATTCATAATTCCATAACTGTACATTCATAATTTCATAAATGAATAACGCCGTTAACACTGTTAACGGCGAGACAAAATTAATTTTTTTTTTTTAAAAATGCAATTATTTTCCTTAAAAACGACGTCGTTTTGGACTTGTGTCCACAACATAATTTGCGTCTAAGCACGACCCACGTGCAATAATGCTTAGGCTGGCACGGCAATTTATATCCTACACCACGGCGTGCGTTGCACTATGTGCCCAGATGCAAAACGACGTCGTTTTACTTTTTTTTTTTTTTTTTTTTTTTTTTTGAAATTTCCCGCCCCAGTGAATGGCAGTAGTTTTTTCTTTAAAAAAAAAAACCCGCTGTTCAAGAATGTACATAATGTTATACTAGAATACACATAATTGTATACATGAATGTACATAATTATATAACAAAATATACATACTCTTTTTAAAAGATAATACACATAATCTAACATAATACATAATAAACATAAACTTTTAACATAATACACATCAACTATTAACATAATACACACAAATTTTCTGATTCGAATGTACATAATTGTATAAAAAGAATGTACATAATTGTATAAAAAATGTACATAACTGTATGAACTAATACACATAACTGTATGAACAAATACACATAACTGTGTGAACAAATACACATAATTCCAGCAACTTCCTACCGCGCCTCCCAAAACGACCCCAAAACAACGTCGTTTTGGGAGGCGCGCGGCGCACAGTACTATGTGCGCTGTGGTGCAGGGTATAACGATTGGGCTGGCACAACGACGTGCCTTGTCACCCTTCATATAATATAGGCCAGACTTTATTAACCCAGACACAGTATTTTTATATGCTTTTAAAAAAAAAAAAATTCTTACTTTTTATTTAAACATGTAATCTTAGAATGAATTGATTTAATTTTAATTTTAATTTTAAATTTTTTCATTTCAAAAAAAAATAATCTTATGTATTAGTTTAAATTTATTTGTAGTAACTGGTAAACTTTTAATTTGTATTAGTTTTAATTCTTAAAATTATAAGTTTCTACTCTATAAAGTATATAATTTAACTTTTTAAATGTCAAAGAATATATAGTTGTTTCACAATTGTACAAAAATGCAATAAATTTAATTTTTTTTGACTATAATTAAAATTTTAAAAAGTATAAATTATTATAGACTTAAAATTTTTAAAATTATTAATTTAAATATTTTAATATATTAAAGTTGGCTAAATTAACCTGGCATGGCCCACTTACCATCACTTGTATAAATTATTGGTATAGTAGCATTTTTTGTTATTATGATGATTGATGGATCAAGTCGTGTAAAGTTGAGAAAGTAGTTGGCGTAGGTATATACTAAATTCCGAAGACCATATACACTGATACACATTGCAATTTACAACTACTCCCTATTTCATTATATCAACAACTAAATTAATGTGTTTGTTGCAAAATGCCTTGTGGTCGAGTGACATGATTGTGATTTTCCTAAATGAGATGTCACAGAAAGTATGTATGCACAGATACTACATTATAACAAAGTTAGTAGTATTTAAAAAAAAAAAATTAATGCGTTTGTTAGATAATTTTTCTTATTTTCTCCTTGAGATTAAAAAGTTAATTAATTGAATGAAGTTTTTGAGAAATGTAGTTCTTTTCTTTCTTTTCTTGGGTGCAATTGAAATTTATACATGATAACCCTGCTGTATATTTTTAATAAAAGTATGGTGTTGGTTTCTTGATCTTATTTTGATGGATGATATTTAAAGAATCAATTTAACTTATTTGCTAATTTATAAAACTTCAAAAACATTTGAATAAAGTTATTTAAAATATTTTAATGAAAAAAAAGGGACCAATAAACTTCTTTAAGTCAAACGAATATTGTTATTAAATTCTTAGTTGGAAAAATTACATCTAATCTCTTTGAGCAAGTGAAAAAGTGCAATTGAGCCAAATGCTATTTAGACTGTTTATCATTTTTTTTTTTAAATGCTCAAGTGTGATGCAATCCTTATGATGGATTAATTAACCCGGGGTATGTCCGAATCAATAAATCCAGATAAGAACGTAATAAGAATAATAAATGAATAATATAGAACGATGTCGTAAAGGTCGCGGTGGACCGTATATTATATTAATTGCCGTAGTATTTGGCTATTACAAAGATTCGGTAGGACAAAAGTGTGTAATAATCGTATAATGTGGAATGAATTGCCCCTTGTTAGGACATGGAGGGGGGTTTTTATACAAGCAAACCCCCCAACCGCCTCCCCTTAAATCGGGGGTGGTTAGATCTCAAGTTTGACCGGGCCCGGGCGGACCAGGTCGGGTCGGGTCCCGAGCTCGGGTAGGACCGAGCTCCCCGACCCGAGCTCCACGTAGGTCGGCTCGGGTCGGGGCACCTCCATGGTGCTCCGGGTCCGCGTTGCTCTTGGGCACCTCTGTGGTCCCCCGGGTCCGTGTTGCTCTTGGGCACCTCCGTGGTCCCCCGGGTCCGTGTTGCTCTTAGGCACCTCCGTGGTCCCCCGGGCCCGTGTTGCTCTTGGGCACCTCCGTGGTCCCCCGGGTCCGTGTTGCTCTTAGGCACCTCCGTGGTCCCCCGGGTCCGTGTTGCTCTTAGGCACCTCCGTGGTCCCCCGGGTCCGTGTTGCTCTTGGGCACCTCCGTGGTCCCCCGGGTTCGTGCTGCTCTTGGGCTCCACCAAGGTGCTCCGGGTCCATGTTGCTACCCCGGGTCGGGTCGTGGGTATAATATATCCATCACCTTGCATTACCGATATACATGATTAACTTAGGCAGCCAAAGGTGGCCTATTTCCTTTTCTTTTGTGTTTTTTTTCTTAATTTAATAATAATAATAATAATAATAATAATAATAATAATAATAATTATTATTATTATTATTATTATTATTATTATTATTATTACTATTATTACTATTACTATTATTATTACCGAAGGTGAGTTGGAATTGCATGCATACAGAAAATATAGTGGATGAATTGTAAATATAATTATATGATAGTACAATATAGTTAAAGGATTTTAAGAATAAATAAAGTCTTATTCAACAAATTACCTCTTAGGATTGATATGTACGGAGTAACATTGTTTTCTTTTTGCTTATGTGGATCTAAGATTCTAAGGGCATCCTCATTAGTGGATTTTAGGAAGGTTTTGGAACAGTAAAATGAGTTTTCACAAATGGGAGGGTAAACTTTTTGAGGAGATTTTACTCCTGCAAAATGGAGTTCTTTAGGGGCCCACATGCAGTGATAAAAGGAAGAAGGAGAAGGTGCAGGCGCGCCTGAGGCGCACCTGCTGCGCCCAGCTGGCGCGTGCACTGCACGCGCCTGCTGGGCGCGTGAATGATCTTTTTTTTTTATTTTTTTTTTACTTTTCATGTCAGGCTTTTTTTTTTTTGCTTTTTTTTCTTCTTCCCTTTTTCTCTTCCCTCTACCCTCTCTTTCCTACATGGCTATGACAAAATCTCTTAAAAATGCCTCACTATTGAGGTTGCCCTAAGGCTAACCTTATCCCTGAAAGTGGGTGCCTTGCTGAATGATGTGGCAAGAGAGAGAAATTTCTTTTGCTTTGATTTTTAGCTTACATGGATAGCAAGAGGAGAGAGAAATTGCTAATTTAGCAAGTGGAGAGAGAAGCAATTTTGCTGCCATTCGCCGCCCATTCCTGCCAACAACTTTACTTTTTCACTTTTTGTTTTGTTTATTATTTCTTTTAATATTATTTTATTATTATATTTATAATATAATATGAAAGTGGGACCATTTTAGAAAGTGAGAGAATATTGCAGGGGTGTAGAATAAATAGTAGATAATTTGTAAATTTGATGATGTGGAAGTGGGACCCATTTTAGAAAGTGAGATAAATTTTTGGGATAAGGATAGCCTAAGGTGGTGTACAAGTTAAATTTATTTAGTTTTAAAAACTTTTTTAGATTGTTTTCTAAACCATTGGTGGTTGTCTTTGACAGTTGTGGTGGACAACCACATATTTGGCCACAAACATAACGAAGATACCCTGTCTTAAGGTTAAAATTTGGACACTCGTCTTAAGATCTCTTAGATTTAAGAGTAAGGGTGTGTTTGGTAACGTTTGGTTCATGAGGTTAGATACAAAAAAATGAGAATAAAAGTCATATATATTATTTGCTTGACAATTTTTTTAAAAATATATATATAGAATTTGATGATCCTTATAGTTACAAAATCAATTACTTAATTGGAAAAAGTGTCAAATAGACCATTGAACTTGTATGATTTGTGCAATTAGACCATCGGAAAAAAAAAGTGTGCAATTAAACTATTTAACATTAAAAATATGTTGGACTTCCATTTGAAAGGTGGTGAGTTTAAGCTTCAGTGGAGGCGTTATTGGTTCTTTGTGTTTCAGTAGGTTGAGGAAGTATATGAACAGATACTACATTGTAATAGAGCTAGTAGCATTAAAAAAATATTAAAAATATGTGCAATTGACATTATTAGTAGGTAAGTAACAAGTTGCCGGTAACTTTTGATTTAGTATGCCGCATGAAAAATAAAATGAATTTTTTCTTTATTATTTAACAAATATAATATAAATTTATTTAAATAAATTTAAAATAATTTTGAAATAAGGATCAAATTATTATTATTTTTTATTTTAATAAATTTAATTGGAACAATTATTATTATTAAAAAAAAAAAATGTCTCCACCTTCTCCGGTGGAAGGCGGGGTTGCCTTCTCACCAGAGAAGGCAAGTGGGTCACTTCTCCCTCAACGGAGAAGGCGACCTGGGTTAACGGAGAAGGAAACCCAGGTCGCCTTCTCACTGGAGAAGGTGGGGACCGGGTGTTTTTTTTTTTTAATTTAATTAATTATTTTATTTAAACATGATTCATTAGTTTTATCCTCCAATAGTGTCATCGCCGATGCTAATGAGTAATGATCTCCTTTCATTCTGATTTTTGTTCTTATTATATATTGCAGATCGTGGAAGGCGCTGAGCGTGTTGTGGGCTTCAACAAGACTGCTTCCAGATTATACGCAACCATTGATCTGGAAAAGGCAAGGGTTGGTCGCACCAGGCTTCTTGATGAACACAAAAACCCCCGCTGGTACGAGTCTTTCCACATATACTGCGCACATATGGCATCCAATGTGGTGTTCAGTGTGAAGGTGGATAACCCCATTGGAGCAGAGCTGATCGGCAGAGCTTATATGCCTGCGAGAAGGCTCCTGGGCGGGGAAGAAGTGGACGAGTGGCTCCCGCTCTTGGACAACGATCGTAATCCCATACACAGCCATTCCAAGATTCATGTGAAACTCCAGTTCCTTGATGTGGTGAGGGAACGTTGTTGGGGCCGTGGAGTGAAAGCCGCGCGGTTTCCCGGCGTCCCGTACACGTTTTTCCCGCAGCGACGAGGTTGCAAGGTGACTCTGTATCAGGACGCTCATGTTCCTGAGAACTTCATTCCCAGAATCCCTCTGGCCGGGGGCAGATTCTACGAGCCGCAGCGGTGTTGGGAGGATATTTTCGACGCCATTACTAAAGCCAAGCATTTGGTTTACATAACGGGGTGGTCTGTGTACACTGAGATCACACTGGTGAGGGATCCCCGGCGGCCGAAACCCGGCGGGGACGCCACTCTGGGTGAGCTGCTCAAGAAGAAAGCCAGTGAAGGGGTGAGGGTTTTAATGCTGGTTTGGGATGACAGAACCTCTGTTGGGTTACTTAAGAAAGATGGACTAATGGCTACTCATGATGAGGAAACCGGGAATTATTTCAAGGACACTGAGGTTCATTGCGTGTTGTGTCCCAGGAACCCAGACGATGGGAGGAGCATTATCCAGAACATAGAGATCGGAACCATGTTTACTCACCACCAAAAGATTGTTGTGGTTGATGGCGAAATGCCAGATGGGGATACAGAGAGGAGGAGGATTGTTAGCTTTATTGGAGGGATTGATCTTTGCGATGGAAGATATGACTCTCCATTTCACCCTCTGTTTAGGACCTTGAACACCGCCCACCATGACGATTTTCATCAGCCCAACTTCGAAGGCGCCTCCATTAACAAAGGAGGACCGAGGGAGCCATGGCACGATATCCATTCGCGCTTGGAAGGGCCGGCGGCCTGGGATGTGCTCTTCAACTTCGAGCAAAGATGGAGGAAACAAGGCGGCAAGGATTTGCTCCTTGACTTGAGAGATCTTGAGAGCATTTTCATCCCTCCTTCGCCGGTAACCTTCCCGGACGACCACGAAACATGGAACGTTCAGGTTTTCCGGTCCATCGACGGCGGGGCTGCTTTCGGCTTCCCAGACGCACCGGAGGAGGCTGCCAAGTCCGGGCTGGTATCCGGGAAGGATAACATCATTGATAGAAGCATTCAAGACGCTTATATCAACGCCATTCGTCGCGCCAAGAATTTCATCTACATTGAGAATCAGTACTTCCTGGGAAGCTCCTTTTCTTGGTACTCCGACGACATCAAGGACGAAGCCATCGACGCCCTGCACCTCGTACCCAAAGAACTGTCGTTGAAGATCGTGAGTAAGATCGAGGCGGGGGAACGGTTCACGGTGTACGTCGTGGTTCCGATGTGGCCGGAGGGGTACCCGGAGAGCGGTTCGGTGCAGGCGATTCTGGATTGGCAGAGGAGGACAATGCAAATGATGTATACTGATATAGTTCAAGCTCTGAAAGCCAAAGGGATCATCGCTAACCCAAAGGACTACTTGAGTTTCTTCTGCCTGGGTAATAGGGAAACCAAGAAAGGCGACGAATACGAACCTTCTGAGAAACCGGATAATGATACAGACTACAGCAGGGCTCAGGAAGCCAGGAGGTTCATGATATATGTTCATGCTAAAATGATGATAGGTATGTCTGATAGGATCAAACACTTAATTATCATTAGGTCCGCCTAACAATTTTCCTCCCAACACTCATCTTAATGCCTCTTGTTAGGGGCTCTTGCAAGTGTCTATCACAACACCAAAAACTATAACAATAAGTAGCAAAAACTCAACTTTATTTTTTTCACACATTTTCAACAGCCAAGCACAAGGCGTTAGACTTGGTCTTTTACGTCTCCACCCAACAATCTTACATAATCCTAGTCACATAGTGTTGGACTTGGCCCTCACCCACCTTTGCCCAGGCCAACAGACAACAGTATGTAACTTAATTTAATTAACTCTCTTCTATCACTTCTAATGGGTCAATCTCTCCCAATTAATGATCCTAGATTTACAGTGACATTGAAACCTCATTAGCAGCACATTTTCGAAAGTCAAAGTGCTAAACTTGATCCTTTACTAGCCTCCTCGCTCTAATCTGTCCAATAATTCTCTAGCCACATGATACTGAGCTTGATCCTTGCCTGCCTACACCCAACAGTAACTTAATTTAATTAATTCTCTTCCATTACCTATGATCAATAGTGTTAGAATAGAGATTGATTGAACCAATTAACTGAGTTAGCTAGCCTGTGGCACAATTAAATAATGTTGTCACAGCTAGAAAGCTACGATATAAGTAACGTTAGTTGTTGTGGTTTTGGTTGCATGCAGTTGACGATGAATACATAATCGTAGGATCAGCCAACATAAACCAGAGATCAATGGACGGCGCGCGCGACTCAGAAATCGCGATGGGAGCATACCAGCCGCACCACCTATCTGCGAGGCAGCCAGCGAGGGGGCAGGTACACGGGTTCCGAATGGCGCTGTGGTACGAGCATCTGGGCATGTTAGACAACTGCTTCGCCCAGCCGGAGAGCATGGAGTGCGTTCTCAAGGTAAACCAAATAGCAGAAAATAACTGGAACCTCTACTCCGGCGAGACGTTGGAGCGCGACATGCCTGCCCATTTGCTCAGCTACCCCATCGGAGTCACTGAAAATGGACAGGTAACTGAGCTGCCTGGGTTTCAAAATTTCCCCGATACAAAGGCGCCAGTTCTTGGAACCAAATCCAATTTTCTTCCTCCAATCCTCACTACTTGAACTCCGATCCTCAGATCAGATCAGTTGTTTGTTTTATTTTATGGTTGCTGGAAGATGAATATATATATATATAATATATATGACTGATACACAATAATTTAATGGGATTCATATCTAAGCTTTTCGAGTGTTTGCTATATGTATGTATGAAATAAACATGCATTTTAGTAAATGGATTCTCTAATCTTACACAATGCTCTATACTTGTCGCTCTCTGTTGTCTCATACTAATATTTTTTCACTCGGGCAAGACTCCACAGAGCGCTTTGTAATACTGATTGGATAACAAAGCACCCGGAGACTAGAGTCATGCATTATCTTACAAGGATAGGATCTGACCATTCCCCATCTTAGTTGATACTGATCATAAGGCGACAAGAAACAGGACCCCTCCTTTCCAGTTTCAAGCTGCTTGGACGAGGAATCCTGACTTCCACAACATCCGGAAGGAAAACTGGGATAATAATATGCCTTTGGAACAAAACCTTAGGCTCATGCAGACCAAGTACACTGATTGGAACAAAAATGTGTATGGGCAGTATTAGGAAAATTAAAGGAAAAATCGGCTTATGGCCAGGATTAGAGGCATCCAAATTTGCATGGGGGACAGACCAAGCAATGGTCTTTTGAACCTAGAAAACAAGCTGCCAAGAGAGCTTGAGGAAACTCTCCGCCAGGAAGAAATAAGTTGGTTCCAAAAATCGAGGAGGATTGGATTCAGTCAGGCGATCGAAATCCTATCTAGTTTCTATCACGCGGCTATTATGGTTCGAAGAGCAAGGAACAAAGTGAGTGGCTTTAGAAACAACGATGATGAGTGATTAGGGACAAAGAATGCATAAAAGCTATGATTCAGGATCACTATGTTCAGCTTTACACTTCGGAGGATATTGAACTAACTAGGTCGAATTTTAATGGAACTTTCCCGGGCAGTCAGTGGACCATGCTGAATAGAGAGTTACGAAGAGCAAAGTGAAAAACGCTCTTGATGACATGTCCACGGTCAAAGCCCCTGGGCCGTATGGGGACAGTTTGTTCAAATTGGTAGCTGATTTTGTCAAGAGTGGACGTCTTCTGGAGGGTTTGAACCACACCAACATCGTGCTCATCCCTAAGGTCCAAAGTCCTGAAAGGGTTAACTAGTTGAGACCCATAAGCCTCTGTAATGTTGCTTACAAGCCGGTGACAAAGGTCATGGCAAACACAATAAAAAATGCCATGCCCGACCTCATTTGCCCAAACCAATGCAGCTTTGTGTCGGACTGTCAAATCACTGATAACATAGTGATATATCATGAGATCCTTCACACGATCCGGTCTAACAAAATAAAAAAAAGCTACATGGTTATCAAGATTGACATGGAAAAAGCGTACGATCGCCTGAGTTGGAACTTCATCAAGTCTACTCTCCAAGATACTGGTTTCAACCGAGATTGGGTTAGAAACATTATGTACTGTGTTGAGTCGCCTACCATGTCAATCCTCTAGGAAGGGGAAAATCTAGAGACTTTTAAACCAAGGCGTGACATCAAACAAGGAGATCCGATCTCCCCTTATCTCATCGTGATGCGCATCGAGAGATTAGGGCATATCATTATGGAAGCTGTCAACATGGGTTTGTGGAAAGGGATTAAGGTGGTCAAAGATGGCCCAATCATATCCCATCTGTTCTTCGTTGATGACATGGTTTTTTTTTTTTTTTTGCCGAGGTGAGGACCAGTTGAGGACGGTTATGGATTTCCTGGAAAACTTTTGTAAGGCCTCAAGCCAAAGAGTCAATAAATCCAGATCTAATATTTTCTTTTCTAATAATGTGTACAAGTCCGAAGCTGACAGATTGGCAACAATCGCTAGGATCTCTATTACGAAAAACCTAGGAAGATACCTTGGGGTACCATCCCTTCACGGCTGTTTAATGAATGATCATTGCAAAGGCATTCTGGGAAGAGTCCGTAGTAGACTTGAGGGATGGAAAACTCGACATCTCAGCCTCGCAGGTAGGCACGTCCTTGTTCAATCGGTTCTTAATGCTATCCCTTTTTATGCCATGCAGACCATGTATCTACCTAAGGGGGTTGGGAAGGTGACGGGAATAATAAGAAAGCCAGTCTCGTCAATTGGAGCACAGTAACACAACCAAAGGAAATAGGAGAGCTCGGGATCAAAGCCATGCGGCATTTGAATATCTCGCTTCTGGCAAAACTTGGTTGGAGGGTGATAAAGGAGGGACAAAAAACTTGGGCCCAAGTCACTACGAAGAAGTACATGAACAATGGATCGAGCATTTCAGCCATGAGAAGAAAAAGGAATGATTCCAATACGTGGAAGGGCATTTGTGGGACCAATGTTCTGGAAAAGGGAGTAAAGATGGTGGTCAGGAATGGGCACGCGACAAGGTTTTGGATGGACTGCTAACTTGTTGAATCCCCTCTTAGAGATTGGATGATTAGGCTTTTGAACAGAGATGAAGAGAACGTAAAAGTGGCTGAGGTTTGGAGAAACGACACTTGGGACTGGGAACGGATTAGTGTAGCGCTACACCATGAGAAAAAATGTTAGCTATTGTCAAAGGTGCTGCTATCTGATGTAACCAGAAGCGAAACGCTGGGGGGGGGGGGGGGGGGGGGGTTGGTTTCAGTGACACAAACACGTTTGCCGTGAAGTCCGCATACAACATCGCAAGTGTCGAAAGATGGGACTCAAACAATGTGGGATGGAGTGCTGTTTGGAAACTGAGAGTACCAAACAGGATACTGATTGCGTATATTTCTCAAATAAATACCCGGAGTATCGGGTTATCGATCCACAGGGAAGTAGGGCGTATCAAGCACTAGCTACTAATTTATTCTTGTGAAGCTAATCCGATCCTAGTGAATATCATGGATGATTGATTAAAATAATTAAAAGAGAGCAAAGTAGCAGGTTTGTGAAAACAATAGAGAGAGAATGAGATTCCTGGGATTCAAGTATTTAATCACCTAGTGCCAAACTAATGAACAATATTAAATCTGGGTTTAAACAAGTGTGAGAATGCAAATAGTGGAAAGAGTTACTCCCGTAATGTAACACCCCACTTTTCTTAAACTTAATTAACAGACTAAACCTTTAAAGATAATCTAAAGCAGCGGAATAAACTTTACTAAGCAACTTAATGGAGGTGTCACCGCCACAATCACCCTCCACGGTGATTGCACAGGCTAAAGATAAATCAAACTAAACATTAAATTCAACTAACATCCATCAAACTAGGGGTAGTCAACTACAAATTTCAAAAGAGTAAATCATCATCAAGAGTTTTAGACTACAAAAGCTATCTAAGCTATCTAGTCTATCTCGTACTCTCTCTCACGAACTGGGCCTGTGACACCCCGTAAATCTAACCCTTAATTGAGATTAATTGAAGAATTAATCCTAATTTTCCTTTGATAATTTCCTTCTAAAAATCCTGAAATTTGATAGTCGAGAGACTAGAATTTGACTAGTCTCATTACTCAACCATGTGTACCTTTTGCCTTATACTTTGTACCTCAACCCTCTTGTCTTCCTAACTTCAGTAAGGGTAAAGTTGACCTTTCACACATGTTTTGATGCCCAAGTTTTTCCTAGCAAGACATTTCATTCATTTCCCTTGCTAGCCAAGTCATAAACACTCCACCTTCTCTCTAAAGAAATCTTAGCTTTCTCTTCAAGCTAGAAGAATAGTTCCCTATCCTTGCAAAGTTCCACCTAAAGATTTCACCGCTTTCTACCCCCCTAGCATAAGAAAGGGTAAGATCTTAAGTTGTTTAGTGTTTTCAGTTAACTTTAAGGCATCTTTATCTTATTTTGGTGTTTTCTTTGTGGTTTGGTTGTGTAAGAAGCCTTGGGTGAGAAAGAGCTTCAAGAAGAAGCTTAGGAGGGTAAGAAGAAAGAGGTTTTTGGTCTACAAAGGTAACCCACGCTCTACAAAACCTATTTTATACTTACTATTGATGTTTCTTGGCTTCTATTTGATGATTCTTGATGTTGTGAGTGATTTGATGCATGATCTTGTGATAATGCATGTTTAGAGCTTGTATTTAGGGTTCTTGAATGCCTTTCTTTGAGCTATCCTTAGGTTCAAGTCATATCTTTATTGTGTGTGAGGTTTTGAGTGTTTTGGACTTGAACTTGGCTCTGGTGATGAATTTCCCCGAAGGGAAAAATGTGTGTACAGGGTTGTACCCGCGGGCAGTGGCCTACCCGCCGCCCCATCCGCGGGGAACGTGGCTTTGTGGGGCTGTACCCCGCAGGCAGGACCATGGGTGGTGGTCTACCCGTGGCCTGATGGCGGGGAATTGTTTCCCCGTGGTTCTTTGGCCTGATGGCGCACCCGCCGCCCCATCCGCGGGGAACGTGGCTTTGTGGGGCTGTACCCTGCAGGCAGGACCATGGGTGGTGGTCTACCCGTGGCCTGATGGCGGGGAATTGTTTCCCCGTGGTTCTTTGGCCTGATGGCGCAGGACCATAGGTGGTGGTCTACCCGGGGAATTGTTTCCCCGTGGTTGGTCTACCCGTGGCCTGATGGCGGGGAATTGTTTCCCCGTGGTTCCCCGTGGTTCTTTCCTTTTGGGAAATCCATGTTAGGATTTGTTTCGTATGTCTAGAACGATGTGTTAGGAATCCATGTTAGGATTTGGTGTCTTGAATCGTGAGCCACTTTGTCAAGTTGTCAAGTTTTCAGGCTCATTCTGGGATTTGACTTGCATCCCCCCTACGCGTGAGAGAAAACCTCTATGCTATACAATTTAATAAGCTTTAGAAAGGCTCTTGTATAAATAGTGGTGAAAACCCACTTCCCAAACCAGTGTGGGACAAAAGCTTCCTCTTTTTCCCGTCATTTTTCCAACTCAAATGGGTCTACTTTGAGAATCAATATCTCATTCACCTATTATCCCTTTTGAGCGTACAATATATCAATCTCTTCGTCTCACTACGAAGAACCCGAATCCACTTTGACCTGACCCAAATCAGAAGTGGACCCCACTAATAATTGTACAATAAAATAGCCACTTAAAATGTCATTTTAATGCTATTTTTCCAACACACGTTTGATGTGCTCTCGTTTGGGTTGATTATGTTCTCATACGCTGCACGACAATTACTAAGGGGGTAAAAAAACCGGCAAAACTGTTTTCTATATCAAGTGTTTAACGTGATTTGA